TATCAAATACGCGAGTAATTAAGGAAAAACAGTTTTTAATTTCCAACTTTGACACCCTGTATATCCGATATGATGGGCTAAAATGAAAAATGGTGTTTAGAAACTCATATTGTTTTTGTTCATATTTTATTCATCAAATATGGTTGATGGATTGACCTCCTTTAAGCGGACACCCTCTATGTTTGTTGCTTTGCAAAACTTTGAGCAACATTCCGGGAACATTGCAAAAATATCTTAATGTCCAATCTAAAATCTAACAAAGAATGTTGGAGAAATTCAAACAATATTAGGATGATGAAATGCAATATTTATTCTTTATTATATGAGATACTAGTTATGGAAATACTGAAATACCGGTAAATCTGCACTTATCATGCCATGGGTTTTTTCGCAAAATGTTTTTGTTACTTCCGGATTTTCGTCTGAAAAACGCGAATTTGATAATGAAAATGTGAATTATTTATTAAGATATTTCACTATAAAGTCGCAAATTTATGTACTTCAATAACACATTCATTTTCTATTATATGAGTCAACTACAATTATTATGATTTTTTGCGATTTATCCATGTTTAGTGAAAAGAAGGAATAATATCATTTAAAATAATGGCGTGTGTAATGTCATTCAAAAGTAATCTGTTGACATTTCACATCTGGTATTTGGATTTACTATTGATAATTTAATCAATTAATAGTTGGTAATTTGGCATGCACCTCAGAATTTTGCAAACAAAATTGCAGGAATAAATATTTTTTGCAACTACATGTTCATTTATTTAACGATTATGAAGATATTGGCGTTTTAAAATTTCAATATGTTCGATGAGTCAGCATATGGGCGCAAATATAATAATAATAATAAAAATGTTTATTGAAGTACAAAATAACAAAAATACATGTGTATTGTACTTCAAAAGGCAAATTAATAGTTGGGCCGTTCTCTCTCTCCGTTATCATTCAAAATATCCCTAACGTTTTGATAATCACTTATTGGTTATTGGAATAAAATACAGGGTGTTCTATTTGAAAACCGGAAAATAAAATAAAAATACAAATTGTGGAGAAAGTGCCCTCTATAGAGTGAGGGCACATTTGATATTCCAAATTTCAGATATTTATCTCGAAAAACAAGGTGAAAAAGAGGTATTCCTTGAGTTTGTGTAACCTGGTATATGTTTATTTATTCAATTCATTATTCCTAAATGTGTATCGGCAATGAATTCCCAAAGTAATTATTGTAGTGAGATCAACAGCGTTGCCATTTGACAATCCCATGTATGAACAGAGTTTATGACTCTCTCATTCTTGTGTCACTCAATTTATGAATACATTGAAAGTGACTACCTCACCATATGATTTATTTTGTAAACGTATAGACTGCATTGAAAAAATCTAAAAAAAAATAAGACTTCTTGTATTGATAGAAAAACTCAAATCAAAATGTACCCAATAAAAGTGGACTGTTGAAGTATGGAGTAAGTCTAGTTCTTGATATCTATTTTCTGTACCTATTCAAACATTTTGAATAGGTACAATTATTTTTTTCTCTGTGACAGAAAAAAAGTTTGACATCTCATCTCTGTTGACAGAGGTTATAAAATGTAACTTTTCATAAATTACTTCTTTCCCACATGAAAAAATATTAGATTAGATTAGAACTATACTTCTTTTTTTCCTTGAATAACTATTTTACTTATTAATTGTTCTGCATATTTTTCCTAGCCTTGAACAAATATTAGAGATTTATAGTTCTAGCTGGTCTGAAAGAAATAATTTTGTACAATTTTTGTAGTTAATATTTTCATGATTGTTGGAATTTCATCTTATTTTTGTTACATGATAATGTTTGTTTTGCTGGTAAGTAAACGCCTGTATACTATATAAATGATTATAAAATATCCGGAACTTACCTTACTAGTGTAGGTGTCTTTATTCTCCATCCAGCGCTTTTGAATTTCTTGCACATTTACATAATCATTAAAAACATATTGATAGAAATCCCAAATGCTACTTTGTGAACTAGTTGAATTCCAACTATAATTATTTCAATACTTGAATTCGCCAAGTCAGTACAACATAGTGCCAATCATTTTCAAAACCTGAATAACATAATATTCAATTCCATCAATGTGAAGATGTTTATCTTTAAGAATTTCAAAGATTTCTTGAACTTCAGAACCCAAAAAATGTTTTTTTGTGATTTTGTTTCAAACTGGTGACTTTTTGAATAAAACACCAGTGTCAATGGAAACCATAACCTATTTAATTTCAATATTGACGTCTAGTACTAAAAACATGCTCATTTTGTAAATTATTTTGTATCATAGATGTAAAATATAAGAATAAAATAGGAATTGGTGGAGTATTGAATTGTAAGAAGAAATATTATTTTCTTTTGAGCTGAATGAAAAAATGAAGTAATAGTAATGAAAATGGTTGAGGAGATAAAAGGAAAATAAAAAAGGACAGGTCACAGGGAGCCAAGTTATCATTTCTTTTTGATTCATTCAATTTTCTCAAGTTTTCCATTTAGGCAATGAAAACCATAGACATTACCGATTCAAACAGATTTTTCGGTTTTGTTGAAGAAGCTCAAAAATGGTTTTTGGGTTCTGAAGTTTTTTACTTACATTCCTGAGAACTCTTGAGACTTACTATGCTCAATTTGGTCATTATGAAAATATTTTTTCTGAAATGTTGATATTTTTACTCCTATCTTGAGATTTTTTTATATGGTGATTGTAACTAAGTATTTTTGTAATGACCCAATGTTTTTCTATTCAAATGTGTATTTCATATGCTTTAAATTTTCTAGTCAGAGTACCTATATATACATATTGTATGATTGTTTGCACGAATATTGTGAAAATCTATGTAAAATTGAAAATAAATGAATCACAGATAGTGTTTTTTATTTTGATTGCATAATGGGACACAAGATTAATTTTTTTCATATCCCTGTTTCTTGAACAATTGTATATACAGTGTGTCCCAATTACCATGCTCACCATGGGTATCTTTTTAACGGTGAGAGATACGAGGTTGGTTCAATGACACCAAATGTGGAGTTTGTCAAGGCCAACTATAATGTGAAAAAATATTTTGATAAAATCTATTCGTTTTTGTTTTACACGCAGAAAACAGATTTTGATCATTTTCATGTCTCCTTCATAACTTCTTTATTTATTTCGAAAAAAATATGAAATTTATACAAACTCTTCTAGAATTTGAGATATCAGCACCAACTTTAGTTTTTCAAATGTAGGTCATAGCTCACTATGACTTATAGTTACAAATAACTTTTTTTTCTTTTACAGATGATATGTCGTGTTGATAACAATGGAGTTATTGTCATTTATACAAAAACAAAAAATTATTTGGAAGCCGCCACTCGAATTTATAAAATTTAACGAAAAAATCATGATATCCGACCTCAAAAACCTCCACTTACCAATTTTGAATGGAATCGGACCAAATCTTGTCCGCCATCTTGGAGCAGCCATTTTTTTCAATTTCAACAAAAATTCCATAATGTATTTTCACCGGATTTATGAACATTTGATTACAGATGTGCCTAATTATTCGTCAAGTCAGTTTTTTCTTGTTGGGACTGTTTTTTTAGTAGTTAAGTACAGTTGAATAAATAGTTTACTGCATTTTTTTTATTTGCATTTGCTGATGATGAAATTCACATCTCTCTTTCACAACTATTGACCATAAGCAATGAAACCACCAATGGGATATAAAATCATACATATTGTAGGGTGCACTATTTGAAAAATTGATGTAAAGAAAGTTTGAATTTCGTGGAAATCATAATATTTCTGACCACCCTGTATAACTTTCGAAGAAGATGAGTATTTCATATGATAGAATATGCCACCGACTTCCAACAGTCTTGATTGATTCCATAAATTCTTAGTAGTATGAATAATGGGTTTGTCTATAAAAAAAAATGTCTGCATTTCATGAAATACTGGTATAACTTGGCAACGCCTTGTCGGATTTTCAAAAAACAGATATGTTGAAATATATAGGGTGTTCCATTTGAAAAAATTGATGTTCGATTTTGTGAGCCTTTCTTGTGCCCCTCATATAAAATTTAGTCATTCCTGAAGTTAGCACCCATGATGCCATATGATGTGGAATTATATTTTGAAAATTCCTATTGGTTCAGGAGAAATTCAACTGTCCCACTGGTCTAGGGACACATTTAATATATATTAGAAAGAGAATGCAAATTCTCAACTTCATAAATTTATATTTTCAAATTCTTATTGTGCCTGTTCAATAGATGTAATTCAATGTGAGTCATGGCATGTGGCCAGGAAAGTATTTGTTTTCTGTTGTGAATTTTTAATGTATTTCTATACCTGAGAATATTCCTTTTCAATCAATTATTAATAGTTGAGATTCCCAAAAATTAATAAAAATAGAATGTAAATTGAAAATATCTAATACCTTCAATATCCCAATGTCTTTTCAATTCGGATGAATCTCACAGTATTTCAAACAGATTTTTTCTCTCTCAAGATCTCAAAGGCTACAAAAAATCTTTTGATTTATAAAATTTGACTTGTAAATAAGCCATTTAGACAATGGACAGGATCTACTTCTTAGGTGATCCTAAATAATTAACCATACAACATAGCATTGAAGTTTTACCAAATTTTACAAGACACTAGACAGCAATAAAACAAAATGATCTGGAGTATGTTTGTTGTGATTGAATTTACATCAGAATTCACTTATTTTGGATAAGACCTACTTATTCAAAGTGAATGGTAAGTCTTTTATGTGAATTTCACATTATAGCCAAATTTTTGTAAATTATACCTCCATACATTTTTGTAGCTCAGGACATTTTAATAGAATGAATTGGTTATTTGTCAAATAGGTGGGACCAAAATCTCAAATTCAAATAAATGTATTTGCCACTGAAGATTGTTGTCATGAATCATAATAATATATAAAGAAAAATAATTTTATAATTTTTTATTACACCTTAACTCATTTTTACAAAGCAAGTACAGCAGAAGCCCTGAGTGCTTTCCTCTCTTTAGCCTTAACCTGAGCAGCAATCCGATCCAAATCTCTCCTACCTTGTTGGGTCAGCTTCCTTCCACCATCAGCAGATTTCTCAATAAGCTTAAGAGCCTCTAGGCTCTGTAGGGCTTTGCGACCAATACTGCCAGCAGATCTGCAGAAATGGGAGGGCTTGGTGCCATTGCGTTTGCGGCTACCAAAGATCTTGGTAATTGAACCTACACCAACTGGGGACCTGATGTAGATGTGTCTCACTATTGCAGCACATCTTACATAGTACCAATCAGGGTCATAAGGAGCCAACTCTTTAGCTCTGGATGTTTTGACAAGGTCTACCCATTCTGGTACACGCAGTTTACCAGTTCTGCAAGAAAAAGCAATTTCAATGAACAAAACTCAAGAATGTAGGATCATAACCTCACTTTTAAATTACTCATTTTGGGTATTGTACTCACTTTTTGAGGAATGAGGCGAAAGCCTTAACGAATTTATGTTGATCTACGTCTTTGAGTGTTACAGAAGGCATTTTCTGGAAAGAAAAAAGTCATTAGTTCAGTGAAATTTGGCTCACTACCATGTGGTGCACATTCATGCAAACAATCACAAAATCATAACTCCATCAGAGAGAAATACTACATAAGGCATTGAGACACATTTATAGTTATTATTCATGAATTATTTAAGTATAAATACCTGATTAAATATCTATTTCTCAGTAAATTTTATTAAAAATAATTTCGCTAACCTGTGTGTTGTCATTCGTGGACAAACGGAAAAGGAAGCCAAGCGGCCGACCGATCTAGAGAACCGTCATTTGTCATTTTGAAGCGGGATATTTGAAAATTGTGGATGGTACTTGATCTACGAGGAAGAGATGAGATGTCTTCAAATTGGAACCAATACCGGGGGCGTACGAGAAGTTGAAATTATCAATTTCTAATGGGGCTTCGTTCATCGTTGCATAACAATAATTATTGTTATATACAATGGATATGGAAACTGAAATATTGATGAGTATCAACTTTGGAGGATATTGTCGATGGCATAGAGAATTAAATTTATAGAAATCTGAACCGACATAATATGACATGGATTATGGCATGGCATCATTATAGAACTGAGTAAAATCATTTTTCAGAGAGATATAATAGGTGAATTTACAAATTCTGAATCTTCACAGCACCTGCCATGGAATACATAATATATGCATGATTAGGTTCTCTCCATGTTCTCTCATATATAATATCTTATTCAAATTTCAAACTCTGAAAATGAATGCAGAAGAGTTTGATTTCGATTTTGAATGTAATGAGGTTACTCAGAAATTGAGAATGTTCGTTAATCAGTCGTTTTAAAAAACAATTATTCATACTGTGAGGTAAATATAATAGTCAAAGGCACAGATTAAAACCAACTTCCAGATGCGAAAACTTCAATATTCGATGGCCCAAAATGCATTACCTTGAATAACACCACCGTATACACGGAGAAAATGTATCGTTGATTTCACTCTACATCTTTTGACCAACACTGAAAAAACATAATCATTATGCTTGCACTATATTCGCAGAAAATAAATGGTCAAAGTAATTCTGTCGTAATGAAAAAAAAAACTATACGTACCTATTGAACAATTTGGTTACACAGAACAGTAGGTATCTAATTTTGTTACAAAAAAAACAAAAAAAAAATAATTTTTGAATTTGTAATCTGGTTTAATCGATTTCAGAACGTTTTTGACATACAAATACTGATCCGACCCAAAATGATACTCAAGTAAACGACAGCAATCAAATTTTACTGTTTAATGTGTTTACTCCATTTTAGCATTTTTGTAGATACGGAAGTCGTGCTTAGGACGGCAGTATACAGGGTGAGTCAATAGAGTGTTCTCCTTCTATATTAGCCAAACCGTCAGATATATAGAAAAAAATCGACTACAACAGTTATAGGGTTTCTTGGGAACTCTATCACCTAAAATTATCTTCATATGTATAGGTTGTTCGAATTCCAAGATATCGGTTGTTGATGGGTGTTTTCAAATGAGATACCCTGTATATTATTACATTTTTAGATTCTTGGGGACTAGCTGAAATGTTTATAGAGATATATATAGAGTGTTCAAAATCTATGTTCTATGATTTTTTTGTGTTGAAGCTATTTATTATTAGTCGAGACGGCTTTCCTATATCAACTTTTGATTCACCATCTACTGACACTTAATAGGAACGAATACAGGGTGGTTCAAAATTCTAGATTTCTGATCACCCTGTATCTATTCCAATTAAATTTCAGTAGATAATAAATCAAACATTGAGATAGGGTCATGTGAGCCGTTTCGAACAATAATGAATAGTTCTGACACAAAAAAATCCCAAATTTGAAAACCTCCGATTCAACACTCTATATATTTCTGTAATCATTTCCGCTAGACCCCAAGTGTGATGCATTGATGAAATCAGCTCATCAGAAAAAAATTGGATATGCAATAATATACACAGGGTGTCCCATTTAAAAACACTCATCATCAGGCGATATCTTGGAATTTGAACATCCTATAGATATGAAAATAATTTTTGGTCATAGCTCTCATAAAATTCTATGACAGTTGTATTAGAGTTTTTTTTTATAATATCAAAGGAGAACACACTATTGACTTATCCTGTATAGTGGAGTAATCAAATGATAAAAAATCTATAGGGTCAATAAGTCACCACTATGGAGCGATCGAGCTACCTAACGAGAAAATAGAACACACGGAATAATTCAATAATAATTTCCATATAGTTGGACAAGTTTCAAGTTCACCCTCTTGTATATATATATTGAATATAGATATGGGAAAAACAATAACCAAAAAATGTCTAGCAGATATTAGATCTACCAGAATTCAGAAACTTTCGCCCGAGTAGACAGATGTGCGAAAAAGAAGAAAAAAAAATAACGAAATAGAGGCATTATAGTTCGTCGGGTCCTTCGTGTAGCGCAAGAACTAGGGCAAACGAGGAACGTGCGAGAGAGACGGCAATCAGGAGAGGCAAGGACGGCAGGACCCGCGCAAAACAGCATCCCTCGAAAGGACTTATTGATCAGAGAGTGTCCCACAGTTCCAAAACACTCGTCACGCCGCGCCTTTCCAGATATGTCTGGACAAATCGCAGGAGCCGTGGTCGCCGCGATTTCGACGAGATAACATGTTACCATGTTACCATGGCCACTAGCAGCGATGGTGCGGGCGATATCCACGGTACCATGGCCCTGAGGAAGCGGTTCAAGTGGTGGAAGTTCTTCGTGCTGCTGGACTTTTACAAATCTGAACGTGCTCGCACCTGATCGTGGGGTATACGATTTTTCCGGCACGGCTGGTTGTATGTTTTTTAGTTCGAAACGTTCTTGATTTCCAAGAGATTCTTCTTATTTTGCACGCATACTATCCCGATATATACACACGCACAAACTCGTCGTATCCTATGCAACTTACAGTATATTCCAATTATTGTGATATCAACAGTGACTGATCGGTGGTCGGTGGTCGTTTTTCAAAAAACGGTGAGTATTTTCCTGCTAATCTAGGTGGCTTCGGATCATGTCTTCAACATATGATTATTGGTCTAGTCACTAGTCCCAGTCAATATTTTCGAGATACATTGGGTTGCCTAGTTAGTATCTGCGATTTATCAGCCTAACGCTAATCCACCCATCCACCTTGCTCTACATTCATTTTGGCGTATATTTATATTTTATTGGTAGATTTCAATGCAAACAAAACACAAGCATGCCTTTTCTCTAGAAAAGCCGATCTCACTGTGCCCAACATAAGCTTGTCAGGAGTAACCATACCTTTGAAGACATCCATTTCGATGTTTGCTTTTACTATCAGCAATAATACCTTTCTTGGGAAAATCACGTAAGATCAATTGCTAAAAGTGCATGTCAAAAACTTGGTTTTCTGTTTCGGACCAGGAGCTATTTCACTTCCAGTCAGCTGCTTATGATCTATAAGGCACTCAAACATACCCTGAAACTATTGGATTCTGTCCAAAAAAGGGCAATTCGTCTCGTGGGTGATGCCTCGCTCACAAACTCACTCACTTCTCTGGAACACCGTAGAGGAGTTGTCGATCTTGCTCTATTTTATAGACATTTCCATGGACGATGCTCTTCTGAAATATCAACAATTGTTCCTCCCTTGGCAGTCCCCGCGAGATTAACTCATCGAGTTGAGGCTTCGCACCCCTTCGTGGTCGCACTTTGGAGACCTGCAGAACATCTCTTTCCAAAGAATCGTCATCAAACGAACAGCGAGGCTCTGGAATACATTGCCAAGGGAGGTGTTTCCCGAGGCATATAACCTCCAGAAACTTAAGAAGAATACCAATTCCTACCTTATTTTCCTTGGTTCTCACGATGTTCTCCCAACATTACAGGATATCCCTTTTCGTGGGAACCAGAACATAAAAAAAACAATCTAGAGCAACAATTTTTTTATATCTTCATCTGTAGGTATTCATTTTCATCGAGATACCCAGTCTACCACATGCTCCTAAAATTATTACTCAGAACGTCTGTACCCTTGTTGCATGTCTGCAAATTATCGAAGAGGAAAACATGGATTTTCACCAATTCGCACAAGTAAAACTTTTCTGGACAGCTTGAAACTAAACATTGAATAAAACAACCCCTATATGGGTCAGCCGTGCTAACTTTATGGTAGGTAACATATTGCCCTGAGTAAGTGGTTTAGTTGTGAAAACCTACGTACTGGTTGAGTTTTTTCTGGTACGGCTGATTAAATTTTTTTTAGTTTGAAACGTTCTTGATTTAGAAGCGGCTTTCCTTACTTAGCACGCATACCTTTCCGATTGTCACACAACACGAACTCTTCGTATGCTATGCAACTCACAACATATTCCAAACATTATATCAATAATATAGTGACTGATTTTTGGTCGCTCTGATGGCCATTCCAAAAACAATGAGCTAGGTGCTAGGTGGCTACGGATCATGCCTATAACATGTGATCATCATTGGCCAAGTCCTTGACAACGATTTCGAGTAAAATTGGGTTGCATATAGTTACTATCTGTATCTGCCATTTATTGCTCAACGCAAAGTCCATCGCCCATCCACCTTATTCTATTGGGGTTCTACACCGCAGTCATTCATTTATAATTTGGCTGATATTTAGAATTTAAATGTGTAATCTAGAGAAACCATTGTATCATATCTCAGATATGATATACTTTTTCCCATTCAATCTCTTGGAACGCACGAACGGTAATCCCTATAATGTTCGTGGAACAGCGTTTGTTCTGAAGGAGCAAATAGAGAGAAGGTTAGTATTACGTTTTATTGAATTCTTGGAGGCTATGAGTTCTTGGGAATACGTTCCATTTTCTTGTACTCTATCTCCTGTTGACTGCTGTCTATCCGAAGATAATATCATTCTAATTCAGCACACTTTCCTGGATAACTTGGACTACATATCATCCACCATTCCACAGTTTCACTGTGTCAAAACTGGGAAAATGCTTCTATAGTGAAAATATATCTTGGGGGAATTTCTGATAGTGTCGCTTGTTGTATTAATACCTTTATTCAAACTTCTATTCTATTTTTCCTAAATTATCTGCGAATCAAGCCCCTAGGAGATGGTGTCGATACCGATAATACCTATTGAATAACTAACAAAATCAAGCATGATCTACAAACACATCTTTTTTTACAGATTCATTTCAATATCCTATTTTTTTATTTTATCTCTTGGAGCGCACGAAAGGAAATTACTATAATGTTCGTGGAACATCGTGCGTACCTAGGGAGGATAGGGAGAGGAGGTAGGTGTTGAATTTTTTTTTTAATTTTTGGAGGTTATAAGTTCTAGAGAATACTTCCATTGGCAACAATTTCAGAACAAAAAAAATTGGCAAAGAATTTCAAAGCTCCTTATCGGAAAAGAAACATTCTCAGATATATTTATGTACACAAGAAATCGAGCAAAAAATGGATATATATATATATATAAGGAAATACATTGACAATTAGCATTCTCCATGTGATAAAAATATTAATTCTTTCTCGGATTCTCGGTTTATTCAACAGAAAACAACTATACTTTCCTGGCTATATATGCCATGACGAATATTGAATTACATCTATTGAACACACACGATAAGAATTTGAAAACAAAATCTTCTGAAGTAGAGAATTTGCATTCTTCTTTATATAAAGATATGCATATAATATAATTCTGAATACTCAACAGAAAACAACTACTTTCCTGGCTATTTGCCACGTCGAACATTAATAGTTTGCTTCTAAAAAAAAATTAGTAAAACGAAAGCAAGTCAATCCCAGATTACTTTTCGGAAAAGTATTGGAGCCCCCTGTAGGACCATTAATTTCTGTTTTGGCACACATACTGAAAACGAGCTTGTCATTTTATCACCAGTTGAACCTGTTACTGTCTTTAATTTTGAAATACTGCGCCGGACATTTGCCAAAAACTAGAAATGATTCTAGCGGCGTAACATCTGCTTTTAGATAGCTGTCCCATACAGGAGCTGAATTATATGGCATATCTGAGAGGATATGAAAGCTAATTGGTATGAATATATACCCGCATATACCTACCAAGATAAAAAGTGTTTGATTTTCTATCACTGTGGATATATGCACAAAGTACTTGCTGTCTTGATTTAGATTTTCCCGAAATATACCCCTTTTTGCATCTTCCTCGTGTCAAGATATCAATATATCGCCTTCCGTACGAACATGGTGATCTGAATTAAGAGAAGTATACTCTGGTCATTTTTCTTTGTGAATCGTTTCTTAGGTTCGACTTGACTGGATGACTTTCTCGGATTTTGTGTCAAGTATCAAACACTGTGCTTCTCGGATCTGCAACTTAACATCACATATCAAATATCGAATCATATGAATCAAGAATGATTATCAGATGCTGAACATGAATATTGAATTAGAAACTCACCGAATATGTTTGCAACGTTCGTAGTTGGATTGCAACATATAAGTTTTATTTCCGAATTGAAGTTTCCTCAGTAGGCTTCATCCACATTTCCAATCAACGTGATTTATAATAAAGAACTGGAATCCCAAACACAGTGCTGCTCGGACCTAAAACTAAGTATCAATTTCAATTTTGTATCGTGAGACGAACATGGAATGAAGTCTGGATATTGTTTTCAACATTCGTAACTGGAATGCGATATATTTTCGTAATTTATCAATGAATCAACTATCTCAATGAATACGAGGCAGGCAGATAAGCAACAATTTTCTCTGCGATGAAGAACACTGTATATACCTAACCCATCTAGCGTCTACCTCCTTTGCAGAGAGGGTTTATGAACGCAAAGTTGGTACTCTCCCCTCGTAAGGGTACCTGTCGTGTTTCCATAGAGACATAAAGGTGAATATCTGTCTGTCTGTTTGCTTGAGAATCTGGAAAAGAAATCAATATATCGCCTTCCGTACGAACATGGTGATCTGAATTTGAAAAATTATACTCTGGTCATTTTCCTTTGTGGATCGTTCCTTCGGTTCGGCTAGACTGGATGGATTCCTCGGATTCTGTTTCAAGTATCAAACACTGTGCTTCTCGGATCTGCAACTGCACATCGCATATCAAATATCGAATCATATGAATCAAAAATGATTATTAATCAGATGCTGTACATGAATATTGAATTAGGTACTCACCTGAATATGTTTGCAACGTTCGTAGTTGGATTGCAATATATAAGTTTTATTTCCGAATTGAAGTTTCCTCAGTAGGCTTCACTGGAATCCCAAACACTGTGCTGCTCGAACCTAAAACTATGTATCAATTTCAAATTTGTATCGTGAGACGAACATGGAATGAAGTATGGATATTTCTTTCAACATTCGTAACTGGAATGCGATATATTTTCGTAATTTATCAATTAATCAACTATCCCAATGAATACGAGGCAGGCAGATAAGCAACAATTTTCTCTGCGATGAAGAACACTGTATATACCTAACCCATCTAGCGTCTACCTCCTTTGCAGAGAGGGTTTATGAACGCAAAGTTGGTACTCTCCCCTCGTAAGGGTACCTGTCGTGTTTCCATAGAGACATAAAGGTGAATATCTGTCTACCTGTTTGCTTGAGAATCTGGAAAAGAAATCAATATATCGCCTTCCGTACGAACATGGTGATCTGAATTTAGAAAAGTATACTCTGGTCATTTTCCTTTGTGGATCGTTCCTTCGGTTCGGCTAGACTGGATGGCTTTCTCGGATTTTGTTTCAAGTATCAAACACTGTGCTTCTCGGATCTGCAAGTGCACATCACATATCAAATATCGAATCATATGAATCAAAAATGATTATTAATCAGATGCTGTACATGAATATTGAATTAAAAACTCACCTGTATATGTTTGTAACGTTCGTAGTTGGATTGCAACAAATAAGTTTTATTTCCGAATTGAAGTTTCCTCAGTAGGCTTCATCCACATTTCCATTTAACGTCATTTTTAATAAAGACCTAGAATCCCAAAC